AGTGGATCGAGATGTGCCACCAGCTGCTGGATCTGATTTGCCAGCTGGCAAACCTGGCTGCCGATGGAGGACTGGAAACCCTCAAGACGCTCTGACAATTCTCTTACTCCCTGGCAGACAGCGGTAAGTTGTTCATCTTGCAGGTTAAGACGAGCCCCCTGGGATCGAATAGTGGTCCGCAAAATCTCAGAGTCGGCTGAGTCCATGGTTCTGGCCAGTTCGTACTGTAACGACTGAATGAACACAAGTGGAGGACTCAATAGCACGACTCAGAGACAGAGGCTTAGGATGCAAAAAAAGGTCTTTATAGCCAAGGTTCGGTACACGGGAGATCAGTCAATAAGGCTAACAAAACAGACGAGGAGTAGATAGGGACCGGGTCAGGACACGAACCTGGGTCAGGTACACGTGGAATCAGATACTAGGAAAAATACTGCTGGAACGCTAGGAATAACTAAGACGAACTGGCACTGAAGGGAATGTGGATGCAGACTAAGTAGGCAGACGGAGAGATGATAATGCGGCACAGGTGAGGATATGGGAAGCAGGTGGAGTTCAATCAAGGGCAGGAAAGCTGAGACTGAAATGAGAGAAACCACAATGAAAACAGGAACAAAAACATCAACATGCTGGCTAGGCCCTTACAAACCCAGTTGTTGCCAACCTATATTGACTTCTAATGAGCTATGTCTACTTACATGGACTGAAGATGTGAAATGATCCAGCAAGTCACATTTAAAAACATAAGAAAAAAGCAGAAACTTTCTTTTTTGGATGACAGAAAATATGGCAGTTCCTATGGTGTTAATCATGGGCCGCTGAAATGGATTTTGCAATCCAAGAGACAACTGCCTGATTAACCCTAACAAGAGAGCCTTTCTTAAATATATGTTTTTTTAAAGTAAAAAGAATGGCATCTCATCAGTCTTAAAGTGTTTGTTTGCCTCCTTTTAAAAAGCACACTGTCAGCATTTCAAGTGAGGAGACATAATTAAAACATCTATTAATATAATGGTATTTTGCTGTTTAGGGCCAGGGGTTTAAACTCGATAAAAAGGCATTCATAAAATACCGTCCTTATGCTGATAATTAGGGAAAGGAGGAAGATGCAAATCAGCGAGTCCTGGAGGCGGAGCCAGAGCATCAACAGGAAGAGGGTTTGGACGCAGATTGGAGGAGCTTTATCAGGCCTTTTGCCATGGCAACACACTCTCCACGCCATTGAAGGTAAAAAAGGCCTGAAGTGCATTATAAGGACTTGTTGTCCAGGTGATTTTACCTAAATGCTGCTGCACTATAAACCCTGACTGATCTGTTGCAGGCAGGTTTGGAGCCGGCGTGAAGGCTTACTTTGTGTTCCTCAGATACCTGGTGCACTTGAACCTACTTCACTGTGCTCTCATCTGCGGCTTCATTCTGGGGCCTACCATATTTTATGACAGCAGCAAAAGCAGTGGTGAGTTTGCAATAATGACAGATTACAGCAAAGTACATTAACCACAACTCGATGCCTGCTAAAACACAGTGTGTTTTCTGTGATTTTGCAGAACCTCTGAAGTTTGGAGGCAATGACTCAGTTTTGGACTTTTTCTTGGGATCGGTAAGGATTTGTGTGTGTGTGTGTGTGTGTGTGTGTGTGTGTGTGTGTGTGTGTGTGTGTGTGTGTGTGTGTGTGTGTGTGTGTGTGTGTGTGTGTGTGTGTGTGTGTGTGTGTGTGTGTGTGTGTGTTGTATGTCTATATCTGTGAGGATATTTCTCCCATTTCTAACTTCTACACATGGTTGAGAATGTAGGGTTTAGGTTAGAATTAAGTTTGGGTTAAGCACAGAGGTTAAAGTTGCAAAGTTGGAGGGCCTCATGGTTGTCTCAAGCATTTTCCAGATGTTTTAATGACAGTTTGAAAGGTTTCTTTAAACAATAATTTAAAAGTGTCAACATTAGCTTAGTCTAAAAGGAACTAAAGGCTTGCTGGTTCAAGACCCGACTGGACCAAAATACAGAGTAGCTAAAGAGCTAAGGTGTCCTTGAGCAAGGCATCGAGTCCCCAGCTGCTCTCGGGTGCCGGAACACTCGCAGCCCCTTCGCTCTGACACCTCTTCATTAGTGCATGTTAG